GGGGGGGGGGGGGGGGGGGGGGGTGTACTCATAGTCGTGCATGCCGTAGTCGTTAGACCATTGACCTCGCATCAGGGAGGGGGAGGGTATTTTCCTCGTATGGTGCCTGTGAGTCCATCGATCGCTCGGCCGCCTTCGCGCGTGGGTCCACGCGAGTCGGTAAATCTGAAGTTCCTCGATGAACCCCTGCCTTATCTTGGATGGCTGGTTCTGTGGTTTGAATGTGCAACAGTCACATGCACACCCTCCGTGCATCACTACCAACCAGGATTACATCACGTGAGGGAAGCAGCATCAACGTTGTAAACAGCAGAATGTTGATCTAGTGTAAACAATTATCTAAGTCTTTTGAAACGCCGACGGTTAGAGGTCTAGGGTTCATCGATGTCCGTCTTTAGAAACTTCATCGAAAGATGCAAAACAAGCAGAATGAGACGAGCGGCAACGAGCTATTTTTCGCGAGACGTGCACGTCGCTGTTTCACCTCTTGCATGCTGCTCTCATGATGGGCACTTTCACGTCTTCGGGGGTGAGGTCGGCCACCTGGTTCAGGACCTGCGAGCACCGTGCGTTTCGGGGCAAGTGGTGGCCGTGAGGCACAGTGAGAGAAAGGAGGCCGTTGCGGTATTATTGTCTTATCGTTGTTGTTGTCTGCTGCTGCTGCTGCTGCTGCTGCTGCTGCTGCTGCTGCTGCTGTTTTTGTTGTTGCTGTCTTGTCGTCGTCGTCGTCGTCGTCGTTGTCGTCTTCACAGTGTTCACAAGTGTCGGGTCTTTACTCAGCACCTTCTAGGATACCATCCAGCAGATGTTGTACGATAAATATACAAGAAATGCCTTTCCGAACGGGGCAATCCTCCAGAACACGCCGAGGAAGGGGAGGTTGCCATTCGACCATTACCGCCTCTAGGTGTGTGTTACGTTCAAGTCAAGCTAGAACGGGCGACATTTTGAAAATGTTCTGGAGAGTACGACAAAGGAACGAGGTATGTACCACGTAGTGTACTGCTGTAGAGGCATTGAAAATATCGAAAGATCGTTGCATCCGGACACTTCTTCCGGCGGTCAAAATCAAGGAACGAGACAACGGCACCACCGCGAACAAGAACCGCAGTTTTTTTGTCAACCGCGTTGACCTCGTCCCACCTTGACCGCCCTGACGTCGTCCCCGGCGTCCGCCAACTCCTTGGCCTTGGCGTACAAGCCCTCGGCGTTGCCAAGGCACCGCCTGCCAAACATCACCACCTCCGGGTGGTCGCTCTGAAGAGTCTTGGCGATGCCAAGGTCAATGTTTCCTGGGCCCACCTGGGAATCATGGAGAATCGTTTGTACGCGGGGTTGTGTCGGTGTCTGTCGGTGCCGGGATCGGCCCTCCGCTCTTCTTGGCATGTCTACGTTTGTTCGGGCTTGACGCGAAAAAAGGGTTCGTCCTCACCCCTCCCCTCTAACCTTAATGCTCCGTCCTCTCGAGGACGCGTGGTCAATGATCTTACAGCTAACGCATGCAAAACATGAGTATACCCCCCGCCCATCTTTCCTCAAGCAGTAATCTACGATTTCTACCCGGCCTGTTCCAAACCTCCCTATTGTGTTAATGTGTATGTTTCCGCCTCCGTACTTTCTTGAGGATATGCATCGCCCTCCGCACGCCCCCCTTAATCCTCGCTCCTAAGACAGAAAACATTTCTTGTCTCACCATTCCCACAGCCCATCGAATCTTGGCCCTCAAGACGTAGTCGTCGGCCGTACCTTTCCTCCTTCCTAGAACGGCTTCCACGGATCGAAGCGCCTCGACAAACCTTCCAAGCTGAACGAACAAGCGCGCACCGATAGAATATCAACGTGTTGATTGGCCCGCAGTTGTATAATTGGAAAAAGGGTCGGCCGGGGGGCGGGGGGGCGTTCTAGCTGGCGTACCGGCTCAGGCTGAGCTTGCTGTTAGATAGCTGCTGGATAAACCCACCCACGCAAGCAAGGATCGATGGGGTACAAGTCATGTCACAAAACTGATCGCGCTTGGCAAGAACAGACCAAGAACGTAATCACTGTTCACTCCCGCCAAGAACATAGGAGGCGCCATCGAAGCATCGTCAAGGATGAGAAAAACATTGTAACTCATGACGATGCCAACCGTCTGTGGCTTCCGTAGCACAAATGTGACAACCCGCTTATTGCGAGACGACGACCGCAGAAATTCCAACCGACTTTAGCGGCGGAGCCAAATCACATCCTCTCAACTGCGCTGACGCACGGGCTGCAGAGAAAAGAGGGGCCCGTTTTCGCGTTCAACGAACATCTTTCTTCCAACCAAGCTACGTTTAACGCTTAGCTCCTGTCACGTTATGTGGTCCGCAACACGCTCCCACACAATCACATTCGTTTCTTTCCAGACTACACCAGGTTACATGCATTGTGACCATCGGAAATATGTTTGGTTCTCCCCGGCCACTCTCCTACCTCCCCCCTGGTAGCGTGCGAGACTGACCTTAACGAGAGCGACGGTTTTACAGGAGTGTACGGAGGCGTTGGCCCCATCCACCGTGCACGCCTCTTCGAAACACGCCAAGGCGGCTTCGCTATCGCCACCGTCAAGCCACACCATGCCCTGCTTCCGACGTACCACACGAACGAGCACTCATCGACACCCATCATTACAGACAATCCGACAATCGATGTTTCTTGGCAATCTTTGGTTCGCGAGCATGTGCTGTTTCACCACGCGAGTACGAGTTCAAAACATGGAAATGTCACCCTTCCCGACACCAACCTGTTGGGAGGTATTTGCCCTGATTGGTATCAAGCCTTTCATTTTCACGTGACCTACATGTCCTTTATTGTACGAACTTTGCAGCACGTGTTCGAGGTTTCATTTTTTGCAAACGCTTTGGTGGTCCGCTGCTGCGCTTATCGCACGCTGCTGATACCTCCGCTCGGCCAAAAATCCGTCAAGCAGACCCAAGTGACTGTGCTTCGAAACGTACATCTTCGACGTTCTAGAACCCAGCCCGACATAATGGAGTCGCTTCGCTTTTGTGTCTGTCAATGGAAATCCTAGAGATTCTTCCAACAGCGGCAGAAGTCTGCTGTTGCAACTGTTTATCACTCCCAGGCATAACACTCTTCGTCCCTAGAGTTAACAGTCCCCCCTTAACCCGAAACATCGTCCCGCCCACACTACATGTTGACCCGTCCTGCTACCGCGCTCCGCTTGCCTGGCTCAAGAGGACCTCGGCCAGCCTCTGGCGTACGTTGAGCGCCGACTTGTCCATCCTGACCGCCAGCCTGAGACATCCGACGGCGGTGCGCAAGTCCTGCAAAACGCAGGCACGTAACACGAACAGCGGCGTCCACAAGAGGGAGCGGTGGGGCCGTTCTTGGTTACTGCTGCTGCTTGACTGCTTTGGCTATCGACCGCGAACATCCTTCCAACCGTGCCCCGATCCGATCCTCCCGTACAAGGGACCTACGGTATGCAAGTGCCTTGTTCTTATTCGAGTAGCTGGAGAAACCGGGTGGTGTATAGAGGCACTGTCATGCTGCTCATGCACCGAAGGAATGGACTGTGCGAGAGGAGGAAAAGTCCATCTGTGTCGTCGCTATCGTGACAACCAAACGCAAAGGGAGTGGACAATAAAGTACAATTGTACCCACGCCATAGTGACAACCAAATGCAAAAAGGGAGGTCAATAACGTACAGACGATTCGGGATGTGCGGTGTCGCTGCCGTAGCTACCCGTGCCTCTCAGTTAACGGAGAATATCGCGTCGAAGGCTCCATTGATCATGAACCACCGAGAATCAACGCCAATACGGCGTAGCTCTGCCAACAACGATAGAGATGTTGACCGCTTCATTGTATCGCGTATGTCACCAAATGCTATTTTCGAAGCTCGTGGACGGTGCTAAGATAAAACCTTGTCGTGGGGCTTGACATCATGGTCCCCGTCACGAAATCCACTTCCCCGCAGACGAGTACGCCGCCAAAAACAGGCTTGACTGGTTCACGAATGCCTCTATGGAGTTCCTTCGCTGGGCATTTCGACGAAACCACCGCGTCCGTCAACAAGGTGTACTCCTTCACCCCCCTCCTCTCTTGGCAGGTTTTTTCTCTTACCTGAAGCCTGCGGTGCACCTCGCCCCTCATGGCGTGCAGACCCTTGTGGTTCGGACACACAAACAAGGCACGCTTGAGGGCACGAGATAGTCCCTCGAGCTCCTACAGAAACCGAAAGAGCGGGCAAGGACAGGATGTTGGAAGCACGCACGAGGAGAATTACCCCTAAAATTGCGTGTCATAGCACTGCAGCTTACTTGCCAGCTTGTTTTCCATGGTAGCGCTCGACATCTTGAGAGATACAGAAATGCGATGAACACTATCAGCAAAGAACACGTGTCATTGGAGGTTGATTGATTGGACGGTGGGTAACATTTCTCTCGTCTCAAGCCCGCATGTGTATACCACGAGAGAGAATAAGTTATATTCCGTTCATTTTACACCTCAGCGTCATAATAAAGCCTCTTTCGTACTCTTACATGCAATCTTGGCCTTGCCATTTTTTCGTTATTTTTGGCATCGCTTCAAATCATCACTGACGTCGTTCGTGTCGCTCGGAACATGTACTCTCACCCCCCTGGCCATATCCACACTTCATACCTCTGTGGATAAGCTGTCGTGGCCGCCATCGCTACCGCCAGTGAGAGAATCTCTAGCGGCACCATCTGCTCTTGCCAGCGTCTCCCGCGTGTGCTGCATCACCTCCTCGGCGCGCTTGATGCTTTCCGGAAACGCTCCCGACATGTCTCCCGACAGCAGCCCGCTCCCTGCCTAATACAACCAGAATTTCCGAAGGCTAGGAAGCATGAGAAACTTGCCTTCACTTTGAAGCAGCGACAGTAAGCGAACGTTGCCAGCGCAAGTCTAGAAGACGGCAGGTGTGGTTTACCGCCCGACTCTACACACGGCACACGAACTTTGTTGCCGGGTTATCACACGTTCATGGCACGTGTTCGTACTGTAAGTTGATTGATCTCGTCCCATATAGACCTGAAGGAATGCCACGAGACCTAACGTACAGTGTTCCCCTCTGGGTCCCTCGTCGTACCAGCTACATTAAGCATGCTTGAACATGCTCAAAAATTTTTCACGATTTACGTTTCCTCGTACGAACTCGACAAGGAGGTGCTAAGTCGGCCAGCACAATATATCATATGTCTTCGGTAGCATCTTTTTGTCTCAACGAGCGTGCGTTTTCTAAAAGAAAGTTGAACTCCAACGAAGTACCGTCCGAGAGTTCATGGCAAGAGTTCATAGCGGTGAAACCCTTTCTGTCCAATGCCCTTCCTTTGTCCCCAAGAGACATTCTCACCAAAGCCTTTCGCGCCTCCGCCTCCGCCTTCTCCGGATCAAAGCTGCCGATCGATTCCGCCAGAGACGGACCTCGAGATACCGAGGTCGAACCGCTGTCGAGAGACCGGCTCTCGAGCGACGCGGTGTCAACCGACCGCGACGTGCTAGTGTGCCTGGGACAGGTTTGTCGAGAGGCTGCTGACCCTGCCGGCGGGGAGGGATTTTTGTGGCCGAGGGACACCGTGACGTTGAAGGAAGACATGGCATCGTAGCACACTCCCAAAGAAGCCGCATCGTTGCCTTCGTCGTCGCTGCCACCGTCAGGTTGCACTGGGTGGCCCCGGGGCCTCAACATTTACTTTCTTGTCCTTTTCGATCGTGGCACCTGGTGCCAAGGTTCGAAAGAGTGTCGTCCAAGCACGGTATTCGAATCTCACGTTAGAGACAGCGGTGGCACGTATGTGTCGCAGAAAAAACATCTCTCGTCGGCGGCTGTTGTAGGGGCCAGCTCCGATCTCGTCTAACTCACCAATGTTTGACTTTAAGGTGCCCGCGTGAAGCTGTATGTTCAGTTTACGACCTTCGACTACACGAGCTTTTCCCGCTTTCATACCACACTGGACAACCAACCGCAAACACAAGGACAAGCTACGGTTTTGCCTCGTATGATCGCTGGGGTGGTGCCAAGATCGAGCAATATTGTTCTCCGGGAGGGAAGCATTGCTTGGGTTGTTAAACTCGAATGAAAAATTGTAGTACCACGAGTTCAGTGTACGTGCTACTGTCACACCCGAGACAGCTTGCCAAACCGTCCCGTTGTCTTGTCCTGAGGTGGCCTCTGCGGTCCCCGCGTGAGTGAGTACCTCATGGACTCACCCTTCGTTTAGACTAACACAATCTGGCTGACTGTTGTAAATTCCCACGAAAGGGTTCGCGAACGATCGCAATTACTTACTTTATGGAAACTGTGATGCCAACCGAATTGAAAAAAAATGGTTCGTTGGAGAAACAGCCTGCATTTCACATGTAGTCTAGTCTACAACACAGATTATGTAGCAGGGGGCCCTCGACATGTGTAGGACCTTGACATTTGTAGCCCGTTATGTTGTGGGTGCTGACAGAATATTGCTTCGCATACGTCATGGACAACTTACTCGAGATATATTTACTTGGAGCTAACATACAGCCAACTGTACCACAGCAAATACGATAGAGAGTCTCGCCAGGCTGGATCAGCAGCAGCAGCAGCAGCGACGTAGGCGTGTGCATGCTTTCCGATTGAGTGAGAGTATCATTGCCAAACGTAAATTTTCCGAAGTGTGGGAAGGTGCACTTCCATTTGGCCGCCCATGTAGATAGCGGTGGGCGATTGTTGCAGTAGTGTCTTATATTCGCGAATGACTATTATATAAAATAATAGTTTGGATGGCCTCTCTGCCTATGTCGGCACAATAACCATCCCGTAATCCTGCGTGATGTACACAACTGAAACTAACTGCTGTTGCTGAGATCCATCATGTGCTCAGGTCAACGGTCTCACCGCCTTGCCGCTCTTCTATTCGTTGCGCACCACGATGTGCCGTAAACTCTAACCTCAAAGAGACAGAAGTACGTATCATATGCCCAGAAGAGGCACAGCGCCCACCTGTAGCCAGGATTATGGTGAAGCTGTGACTGCCCAGCTTGCTGCCCAGGCGGGCGATGCCACGAAGCCACGAAAATGACGCATTCTCGCCGCACAAAATCTCGCCGCATGAAACTGTCGTTGCTGACTGTTGACGGCTGACAGTGCCGCGCTGACCGCGAGGGGGAAGCGGGGTTGCCATGGTATGCACAGCTGCAGCGGAGCAGCAGGCCACGATCAAAGGATTCAAAGCAGTCATCAAACCGTCCAGGAATTTGCTACACTTACGTGTGATCGTGCGTAAGTGCGACCGTACTTAGATGTGATTGTTGCCGTGGGCTGTAGATAATCACATGATGGCAATCCTGTGTCGACACAGATGTGCCGATCGAGACAAGACCGTGCCGGTGTGCTCCAAGAAGATGCAGAGCACCAACAAGATCTACGAGGGCACCTTCCCACGCGAACAAAATTTTGAGACACGCCGGGCGGCCGGGGGCTTGAAGAGAAGTGCTTGGGAAGTGGCAACCCCAAAACTGCTAGAACTAAGTTTCCGCAACGTAATCAGCATCGGGTCAACATGACTGAATTGACCGAATTCGCCGAGTCTTGGCAGGGACGGAGGGAGTACGGCAAGCTAAGAAGGCGAACATTCTCAGTACGGTGCCGATTGCCACACGGCAAATATCTTCGACTTCCACATTTCATTGTCCGATCTCCGCATTTCGAGCTGCCCACTCGCTCAAGTGGACTGTCTCAATCAAGACGCTTGACCACTTTGCGCCACGGCCGATCAGCACATTGTCAACAATTCGATTTCAGGCCCGCGGGCTACGACTCACTAAAAGCTGTACAAAAAACTGCAGCATGGCAAGCCAGGCATGAACCTTCGACAGCTCGCCGAACGTCCGTGCACAGCAGCCTTTTTACTGTTAAGAACCAACTCAAACCATGAAGAAATAAAAGAGTTGCCCTTGTTTTTATTTAGCACGCCTAACCGTAAAACTACGCGGCCTTGGGAAATGCGGGGGAATGAAGAACATGGCCAGGGCACAGGCTAAACTACAAACAAACTCGGAGCTCCAATCCAGAATATTTTGTGCTCCCGCGCCCCCGAACCTGCACAACCATCAGCATTGCATGCGCCACCACGTTGATGTGACGAACACCAACAACAAAAATGCCGAAAGGGCTGTAGCCAACGAGAAGACCTCGATAGAATTACCAAAAACCAAGACTTTTCTGACACCAGAACACTGCAAACGTTTACGGCTCGTCTGCCTGAGTTGTGCCTTCATCATCGCTCCCCGACCTCCATATACATCTGCCTCCTAAACATGTGGGAGGCATCCAGGTATGACTTGCAAAGCCGGTCCCAATGTCGTCTTAAGAAGTTTAGATGCCGTCTAAACCGATTCCAATATCGTCTTCGTAGTCCAGGTATACTTGTCCAAGTCGATCTCAATGTCTTCTCTAGATGCCGTCTCAGTAGATGCCGATATCGTCTGAGATATACTGCTTTCCAAGTATATATCGATCTCAATGTCGTCATAGATGTCTCGTAGATCCCAATATCGTCTTAGACACACTGTCCAAGTCGATCCCAACGTGGTCTTAGAGTTCGTCGAAGTCGATCCCGATGTCGTCTTCGGCGCCGTCTCCTTCCATGGCCAAGTCCACCGCAGTCTCGTTGATTCGCGCGTGCTCCGGGAGCTCTCCGTACTGCTTCAAGTTACGCGCCTCGTCGGCGTTGTACCTGTGGATGATGTCCACCTGATTCCATGGAAATATATCGGATTCGACATCACATCCGAGCCGCGACCACGCCGCCAACCACCATCGATCGCCCAGCGTGTGGGTTTTTGCCGTTCGTTGGGGCCCCGCGTGTGCGGTAAATCGTGCGGTAGAGGGGGGGGGTATCCCCCCCGTGGGTGGCAAATCCGGCGGCAAGTGAACGGCGGAGGGCAGGGGAAAAAGGCGTGCGTGCGAGTCAAGAAAGGCGACATGAGCGAGGGTAATCTGCTGCCCAGCAGAAGAGCTGAAAGAAAGCGCTACAGGAACGTACAGCACCTCTCACACCGAACAGCCAGATGCACCTTGTTACGGCATGGAGGCAGATGGGTCCGTTTGGGTGCCTCGGTACCTTACTGTCTAGTCGCGCGCATTGACGTATCATATACGCCACTTTCTTTGTCATCTGCGGTGTCGAGAACTCGGCCGGAGACACTTTGTTCCACCTCGCGAACTAGGTATAAAAGGGACCCCCAAAAAAACAGACGAGCGTCTCGGATACCAGTAACTAATTACATAGGCACACCGTTTTTACAAGTACACAGCGTTGGCATTTTTCAAGCGCTTGAGCGGGGATCAAAAACCACAACTTTCTCTACTGTACGGTGAAAAAAGAAGAAACTGAAAACTGCACAAACGCACGCCGTCTGCACCGGTAAAACAGTGGGCACTTGATTACTCAGAGCGGCATCCCAGCAAAACAACAAGAAAAAACGCGCTTGCCTTGTCATCTTGGTAGTCCCTCTTTCCCACGAGAACGATATCACCGGCGCTAACCCAGACTTTCTTGCGCATCTTCCCCCGGATGTGTCCCAGGCGCGTTACCCCGTCGTAGCAGTAGCACTCCGCTCGCCCGTTACCCAGCATGCGCACAACCTTTCGCAGTCGAAATCGGTCAAAACATTGTCGTAATTTTTATCATCACAAGTGTACCAATAGTTTCGACATGTCGAAAAGGGTGGCCTCGTTCGATAATTCGAAATGTGTGAGCCCTCATGTCTCAAACGCCAAGTTCCTCCGCAACAGCGCTACCGGTTGGTCTGTTGGGGGGG